ACTTTAGAGAGTATGAACAATTCCTATATATAGTTTATTTGGTATATATTTAATAAACAGATATTTTTATCGAAGAGTAGATCTGTTCAAGTTGAAGGGTAGAGACGGACTGACTCCTAGATTCTTGTTTTCTTGTTTGGAGATTTTCTTCTTTATCTTCGAGCATTTCTTGGATTTATCCTCTCAGATTCCTGCTTCTACAATACCAATTGCGAAACTAGAATAAAAATATTATTTTCAGTTCTTGTCCCCACCTTGTTTTATTTGGTATTTTATTTTGTTATAAACCCCAATGATGTTTATAAAATCAGAAGGAAATGAAATGCCGCAATATGTCTTGAAGTAAGTATCATAAATTTAGGAAGGAGACAACCTTTTACTTTTCGATACATTTGTTATGTTTTGCAGGACACTTATTATTTAGACTGATTTGCACCTGAGGATCTATAATTATAATAATCATTATAAAAACTGAAAAATGTGAAACTATGAGAATCCAAATAACTTTAAAAATCTTGAATTAAATTTTTTTACAAAGGGACAAGTAACACCTTTTTTTTGGTAACAAAAATGTCCCTTTGGGCCATTTTTTATCCGTCATAACTAGCGTTTTGTCAAGAGGTGGTTTTCGACTCAGCCCAGTTTCTCCCTTTTTCTCCTGTTTTTGGAACGATGGGTTGTAGCTTATAAATAGATACATATTGAATTTGATCAATATTGCAATAAATAAAATTCTAATTTATGTTTTCTGAACATTTCTTTGTCCCTTAAAGGGGCCGTTCACTTATTTGGGTAATTTCAGGGTAAACTAAACAGCCTATTCGCTCTTGATTGGTAATAGTCTTACTTTTCAAAGACAACTGTGGCCTGAGAAAAAAGCCGATTTTTCGTTCAGAATTCGAGCGCAAAGGGACGGTCCCTCTCTATAGACACTAATTAATGTTTTCTTCAGTATGTTGTGAATCAAAATCAATTTCGAATATAAAATTAAACTGTAGTATCTGATCGTTAATTGTAAATGTCATTATTTTTTAATTTTTGTTGTTTTTTAACTTTCTATTTCTAAAATAACACTATTTTATCGCATTCAAAATTGTGTATTGCCTGTGTAAAAAGCTGAATTGAACGCGGCATGACAAATGAAAAGTTGTGCACATATGCAAACAAAATCTACAAAATCTACGAACCAAAATACTTATCTTGTTTCTGGTAGATTGAGCAGCTTCCGCATTTTAAAGGATTTTGTAAGTTCTGTCTTGACAAAATTCAGGTATCAAATTTTGTGATATCGTCCATTTTGTTTTCTATGTAAACGTTGATATCGTTTTCTTTATAATTGTCCATATTTATTTTTTAATGTCTTATGTCTATGTCCATATTGTATTCTGTATAATTGTCCTTATTGTTGTCTGTATAATTGTCCATATTGTTTTCTGTATAATTGTTCTTATTGTTTTCCATTGCTTTCTATCTGATAATTTCTTCAATGTTTCTGAAGCAAGAAAAAAGTGTTCAAAAAAATATGGATACCGTAACCTTATTCAAACTTGATCGTTCATTGTACGTTTACAGTCTCTTAAAGTAAAGGTAAGGCTACCCCTTTTTAAAATTTGTGAATGCTATTTTTACTAGATCCTTGGGATGAAGGATTATAAACTTTAATTAGAATATTTAGGAACTTATCAATATTTTTACTAGATCCTTGTGATGCAGGATTATAAACTTTAATTAGAATATTTAGGAACTTATCAATATTTTTACTAGATCCTTGTGATGAAGGATTATAAACTTTAATTAGAATATTCAGGAACTTATCAATATTTTTACTAGATCCGTGTGATGAAGGATTATAAACTGGAATTAGAATATTCAGGTACTTATCAATATTTTCTCTGGAAATATTTAACAGAGAGAACAAGAAATCTCGGAAATAGAAAAACGACTTTTAGAATCAATTTATACCTTTAAAAAGTCCAATGAGCCTGAGACACAGCAATAGTGCAGTGTAAAAAGACCCATATCACGAAATTAGTGATTTAGTAAATGTCTAGTAAAACTTTCAGCTTTATAAAAACATCAAATTCACTTCAGTATTGCTTTAATATCGTCTTCCTATTCAATTGTTTTCTGATTATCACTGACTCTTGATAGTAATTGATTTTTATTTTTCTTAATGAAAGTTTACTCAGTTTTTGCGATGACGGTAATGTAATTACTTTCTACATTATTTCGTATTTTTAATTTTTTTTGATACACATCACCCCCTCCTCAAACATACACGCATTCAAAAACACTCTCTTCCATAAAAAAAAAAACAATAAACTCCAAAGGACCTAATGGAATTTCATGTGACCCTCCATTTATAGAGCGACATATTCTCACTCGTACCCTTCAAACCTCAGAGGAACTAAAGTTCAAAAAGATCAATTTTTAGAAAGAAAAGTATGAAAAAATCATGCATCCTTGATAAGATAAAGATGTAAAGGGTACCGTTGTGAATCGTATATGCTTCAAATGGAGGGTCACTTAAATTTCCGTTCACTGTCCCTTATGTTTGAAAAAATCACATTACTCGATATTGATTGGTGGTGTATTACTAGGAAGAAGTTGCACTGACGCAAGAGGGAATCATGTTACAAAGATTTGTGAATATTGTCTTCTAGAGTTCTCTTCACAACATCCAGCTTCACATAGGTATGTGATGTTGATGTTGATGTTGATGTTGATGTTGATGTTGATGTTGATGTTGATGTTGATGTTGATGTTGATGTTGATGTTGATGTTGATGTTGATGTTGATTAAAATTAGATGATAAGATATCCTCATCTCTCATGTGGTTTCTTATCAACTATCCAATAAATCAGAGGGGGCGGGGAGGGGGGCTCTTCACTGAACAATTTCTTCTTGATGTCTAATTTCCGGCTTACCATTCTTCTCTCGATTGGAGTTTGTTACGATCTTAAACATTAAATAAACACAAGGTTTTCGTAAATGCAAACCTTACAGATTCAAAATAATTCTTGTTATTTATCATGCTTTTGAAGAAAAAAATAATTTGAGCGTTTAGTGATATCAGATTTCATCTCTCCTCTCATCATAATACACTAGAAGATCAAGTTTATTCTTGTAAATGTGGAAGAACATTCAGTAAAAAAGGTCAGCATGTTCTTGTTAATAATCACCAAAGTAATGTAAATTAGTAACATTTATATTTGAAAAAGTGGGGTGCTCCCAGACTACTTTCTACCTCATTATTACCCTTAATTTTTAAGTTAAAAATGATTTTCTTTTCTTTTCTATTAGAAGGTTAAAAAACATCATCCATGTTCGCCATACATTTATTAGTTTTAAACCCTATACGGCACATGTTTTATTGAATAATAATATAAGAAAAGCCTAACGAATTACCAATTAAAGATATTATGAATTTGACAGCTGTATCATTATTAATTAATTTGATAATTGAAGAGATAAATTGATAAATGTAATTTAGGATCAAGAAACTTTCATTATAAAAGATGCGAGAGCAGTAGCATAGCCGAGCAACAGGAAAACCAGCAAAATAATCATGTTTTTAAAAAATATTTTTACTGATTGTTGTCTTCATTTTAACTGAAAATACACATGGGCGTACGCAGGAATTTGTGCAAAGGAGGGGGGGGGGGTAAATTTGATTTGTATTTCCAGGAGAGGGGAGGGGGGGGCAGCACCCTTTGGGAAATAAAACCCCCTGGAAACCATAAATTTTAATGATCCAGGGGGGGGGCTGAACCCCTATAGCAGAAAATACATTTTAGTGATGATAAAAAATACAATAAAAATCGGTAGAGACAAATATAATGTTATAATTAATTTGTCCGTTATAAAAACCTCATTTTTCATTTAAATTAAAATTTAAAAAGTTTCACTTTTTCTCCCATTTTCTAAACCTTTTTTCTGTTTTGTTTGAAGAACATTACATGCGAGTATTGTGGAAAACTATTGAAGAATTTAAACAGATTAAATCTACACATGAAGCACTGTAAACGGGATGTAATGTGCGAGGTAATTAATCCCTTCCTGATTTATCCTATCGTTAAACAGTTCACATCTTGTATCGATATGTTAACATCAGAAGTTCGTTGTAAATAAAGAAGTAATTTTTATCTGCTGCTCTATTTAGTTCAGAAATGAAATTCGGAAAGAATTCGCAATAAAGGATTTGATCCACTTACACTTATTTTTTGATCACTATATTTTTGCAACATGATGGTGCAAACCTTTCATATTACAAACTTTAGCTAGTAGATCTTCCAAATTTCATGGTTTAGGGCGAGTATTCAGTTTCTTTATATAAAGTATATCTATTATTTTTAGACATTAAACATTCCCATACTTTTAATTAATCGACATCTCATCATTCATGTTTCAGCATACATAACTATGAAAATTAGTGGATTCTTATCCGTATTCATAAGTTCTGACTCAAACGTCCATTCCACAAACTAATTGTTTTGCCAAAACTTATAGATATTAAAGTTAATTTAAAATTCGGTGACGGTGATGGTGATGGAGATGGACCAAACCTCTGTAGAGTAAAAAAGTAGATGTTGGTTCCACATTTATTGAAAATATATTTCGGTCTAGGTTGACCCTCGTCAGTTTCTGAGATTATTTCTGTCACAAAGGTTAAAAACAAACTTAAAGTTGTATTCTTGATTGGTTAAGCTATTGATAAGTTTCGATAAGAAACAGATTAATGTTATAATTGTTACTTTTATTTTTGCTAAAAGATAATTTAATAATTAAAGGAAAATTTAGTTGTGCAGTAAACTGTTCTCTACGGGTAGAAAACTAGAAGAGCACATGTACGCTGTACACGGAGACACTACATGCAGTGTACAAGGTAATAATTGTACGTTGTACATGTGAATAGTACTGGCACTTTACAAGGTAATTGTACATGCGGATAGTTCTGTCATTATGAAAGGTAATTGTTGTAAATTGTACAGTTACACTGCAGGACACTATATACAGTGTACAAGGTCATAGTTTTACATTTAGATAGTTTTGTCAGTGTACACGGTAAATACATGTACGTTGTGCACAATGGCAGTGCTGACATTGTACAATTTAATGATTGTACAGTGGAAACGGGGATATAACTTGTATTGTATAAAAAAATACATGTACATTCACATGGGAATACTTCGGATACAGTGTAATGTAAATTCATATACGGTTTTTATTGGATATTGCTTTCAGCGTACAGTGCATTGTAAATACATGTACGGTTTTTATTGGATAATTGGATAGTGCTTTCAGCGTACAGTGCGATGTAAATACATGTACAGTTTTTATTGGACAGTGCTTTCAATGTACAGTGCATTGTATACATGTACGGTTTTTATTGGATAATTGGATAGTGCTTTCAGCGTACAGTGCGATGTAAATACATGTACAGTTTTTATTGGACAGTGCTTTCAATGTACAGTGCATTGTAATTACATGTACGTTTTTATCGGATAGTGCTTTCAGCGTACAGTGCATTGTAAATACATGTACGGTTTTTATTGGATAGTGCTTTCAACTTACAGTGCATTGTAAATACATGTACGGTTTTTATTGGAAAGTGCTTTCAGCGTACAGTGCATTGTAAATACATGTACGGTTTTTATTGGATAGAGCTTTCAACGTACAGTGCATTGTAAATACATGTACGGTTTTTATTGGATAATTGGATAGTGCTTTCAACGTACAGTGCATTGTAAATACATGTACGGTTTTTATTGGATAGTGCTGCCAACGTACAGTGCATTGTAAATACATGTACGGTTTTTATTGGATAGTGCTTTCAGCGTACAGTGCATTGTAAATACATGTACGGTTTTTATTGGATAGTGCATTCAACGTACAGTGCATTTTAAATACATGCACGGTTTTTATTGGATAGTGCTTTCAGCGTACAGTGCATTGTAAATACATGTACGGTTTTTATTGGATAGTGCATTCAACGTACAGTGTATTGTAAATACATGCGCGAATTTATTGGATACTGCTTTCAGCGTACAGTGCATTGTTAATACATGTACGGTTTTTATTGGATAGTGCTTTCAGCGTACAGTGCATTGTAAATACATGTGCGGTTGTTAAAATCCGCCATTGAAAACAAGGAAATCTTCGTTTTTAATTTTAAATATAGACAAGGTTTTCAGATTGATCAACAAATAAAAAGTAAGATTAATAGTAATTTATTATTTGTGCCAGGCATAGAAAAACAGCAAGAAGGCCATAGACATGTGTTATTTACAACAATCGCATGTCTTGTACCATCAAAAATATAATGTAAAAATATTTTTTGGCAGGCAAGCGGGAATATCCATGTGACGAATGTGATAAAGTATTTCGGAAGAAATATAATCTGGAATCTCACAAACTCATGCATTCGGACTTTAAACAGTTTCTCTGTGACGTAGAGGTAGGTTCAATTTTAATAATTCAACAATTATTTTTATCAAGTTAGATTATTATTAAAAATTCCTAGCCAATAATTTTCATTTTAGTTGAGACTGGTTATATAACGCATAGATTATTATAAATATAATTCTTATTATTAAATTTAAACATATTATTGTAATGTTCCTGTGTTGCAAAAAGTGATTTATTTGGAAAGATGGCAATGCCCGATTTACAACGGTGTACTTAAAAACTTTGTCTGATCAATTATGAATTAGATATCAATGTTGATAAGTTTGAAAACTGGTTATTTTCGTTGTTTATTAGACAAGTGAAGTGCATTTCTACTGCAGGAAAACATGTATGAATTATCAGAATACAACAGTTAGCACTTTTAACCCTAGGAAAAAAAGACAATATCCTTCACATTATTGATCAGATAAAGGTTTCAAGGGTACTGTAGTGAATAGGACATTTCCATTTATGTATTGAGGGTCACTTGTAATTACACTTACAGCCACTTTGATGCTTCCTTTGATTCACAAGGTTATTTTTGGAAAAATATTTTTAAATATTTAAATTTTTCAGGGTTGTGGACGCCGATTTAAACGACATGTAACCCTTCGTCAGCATATTGATTCTGTACATAATAAACTATACTCGACTGTGTACTGCAACTTCTGTACAGCACAGTTTAAGTCCAGATCAGGTATTTTATAGCTCTGTACTTCATATACTGTATTCGACTGTGTACTGCACCTTCTGTACAGCACAATTAAAGTCAAGATTAGGTATAAACTGTACTCGTCTGTGTATAGCAACTTCTGCACAGCACAATATAATTCCAGATCAAGATAATTGTTGTGAGAACCAGAAAACATAGAAATCTTCAACGTCGTCTTTTTTCCTTCACTTACAATTATTAAAAGTTTCTAAAGATTTTGTAACTTTAAACTAAAATATTATTTATTAAAGTGTCCAGAGCTGGGAACTTTTGAATGGTGGATATCTGGATTAATGCTTGGTCGACTCTTTTTCTTAATCTCCAGATTAAATAATGCTTGTTCTCCTCTTGTTATTAATCTCCAGATTAATTAACCTTTCGGGATTAAGAATATCCCATTCTAAAGTTCCTGCAGCTCAGAATATTTTCAGAGATAATTATATATCAATTGTAAATTCAAAAACCCTCAGCGACATTTCATGGCAAATTATTTATTTTTACAATTACTGAGATTTAGGTCTAGCGTTATTAAACCCATTGAAAAATTGTCAAGACGACATTTTACAAATTCTACGACGTCTCTGAAGTACTGGGTTAAACTGAACCAAAAAAATCTGAAGATTCGACTCAGACAAATCAAAATTTGGATTTTTCACATAAAAATGGTGGTAGTTCATGTGTCTTATATTTATTTTGTAGGTTTACGGCTACATATAGCTGCTGTACACGCGATAGGAGAAGCTGGTTCACGAAAGTACAAATGCGACGAATGTGATAAAATGTTCAAATGTTCCGCGGATCTCAAAGTACACACTGTCAGTCATACCAAAGAAAAAGTAAGGTTATGTTTTCAAAGAATCTTCATTTTTTATGTTTTCTAAAAATGTTTAATTAAAACAGTTTTTGGCGTTTTTCTTACGAATACAAGGACGTTTTTATGAGAGATACAGCAGTCATGGTTGGGTTAAAATTTATTAAGTAGTGAAAAGTTTGAATATATTCTGTGGAACTTAAACCCGCGAACAAAAAAGTGGTTGACCTACGTCTGCGTAGTTCAAATACGCTCGCATTAATAAAATCATAGCATGAAACAAGCGTCCCCCTTTTAAAGGAGGAAAAATGCTTTTATGAAAATCCATACCTTTCTATTCTTAGGCTTACTCCTGTGATATGTGTGGACAAAAGTTTGCAAGAAACAACAGTTTAACAGAACACATGAATATTCATTCGTAAGTTCTTGTAATTTACTACAGATTTGGATCAAGATTGTATAGCTCCTTTACAGTAAACCCTTGCTCTGTACTTTGAGCATCTTCTCAATGGTTCTATCTTCAAAGAGTTAAAGTTTGAAGAGATNTGTTCCTAAGTGGTGAAGTTTTATGAGAAACTCTAAAATTTTAGGAGAAAATTTCCCTGTGCTTATTGTGAGAAATGCTTCGGTCGAGAGCGGTATTTAAAAGGACACGAGAGTACTTGTTCACTAAACCCTCTTCTGAACAAGGACAAGGTCGATGTTGAGGATATTTACAGCAGCAACCATGAACACACAACTGTTATTATTACAAAGGTACTATATTAAAATAGTGAATGGTGAATGATACACAGACTCACAGAGACTCCCACTTAGAGGGACTATAAGCTTAAATTCAAGTGACCCTCATTAAAAAGATGGCAATGCCCGATTTACAACGGTATATTCTTATAAGCTTTGTCCGATGATGCTGGAATTAAATAGCAATGTTGTTTTATTTTCATTTGCGGTTTCACTGCAAGTGACTTGCGCATTTCTTGCTCATAAGAACTAACGTAGATCAAAACAAACACTTTTCAAGTTAAATAAACGTTATCTTTTACATTTTTGGTCCGCTTAAGGTTTCATGGGTACCGTTGTAAATCGGGCATTGCCATCTGTGCATGAAGGGTCACTTGAAACTTACAATATTGGGAAATGACGTAAATGTCGTTTTTTCATCTACAAAAACTATCTCATCACAAAGTTTGTAAAATTTAATACAGATCAAATTCATAAATGCCAACATTAAATGAATCTTTTGAACTTTTTAACGAAACTTAATTGTAAAATTGAAATTATTTCAAAGATCTAAAACGCTCTTTCAGTCGTATCTCAACTGTCAAAGTTAGTGAGACACCCTGTATATATAAAGATATAGTGTGATAAAAACTAAAATCATCGCTGCAAAATTAAAAAAAAATCACATTTAGTTGAACTTTCAATATTTAGTATTTAGCTACAGAATCCGTCAGATTTTTCTGTTGTAGGGGTTTCAGAAATATTTGTTTACAATCTTAAACTATATTGAACTTGGGCTTTGGGTTTCATAGGTACAGTTAAATCTTTGGTTTACTTCCATAGGCAATGTGATGGCAAATAATTTTTACATTATTCTAATCTATATATAAGTTTGGCTTGTCTGTTTGTTTGTTTGTTTGCCAGTTAGTTCGTGAACTAATCTCTGCACCTCTTCTTTCAAGGATTAGTTCGTAAACTAATCTCTTACATCCTCAGGATTAGGTCGTAAACGAATCTCTTACATCCTCAGGATTAGGTCGTAAACTAATCTCTTACCGCCTCATGATAAGGTTTTTAACTAACTCTGCCCCTCTTCTGGTAAGGATTGGGTCGTAACTAATTTCTTACATCCTCAGGATTAGATCTTAATTTTATCTCGGATGTCATCGGATATATGTCGTAAACTTACCTCTTTTGTTCTCAGACTTGGGTCGTTAACTAATCTCTGCACTTCTTTCAAGGATTAGGTCGTAAACTGTATATATATATATTTAATATAAAAACAATGCGAAATTGTACATGACTAGAAATTAATCATTTTAGAGCTAATTGTACAAATAATTTTTGTTACGTACTTCCACAGTATATATATTCTGAATTGTAATTGAATATATTTAGAATGAGGGTAAAGATGTATGTACTCCTCTGCAGATTGTACACGCTACTCCGAGTGGTGTACTGACGCTTCCTAGTGTAACACTGACTCTACTGAAGGTACGTTGTACTGTACAGCTGTAGTATACAAAGTGTACACTACTGCACTAATTAAGTAGGTATGTAGTACTGTACTGTAGTAGTGCTTACAGAGCTACACTAACTGTACTGAGGGTATATTGTACTGTTCTGTTGCAGTGTACAGTCTACACTACTACGGTAACTGTACAGTTTGTAGATGTACTTTTGTTACGACTGGAATCTCTTAATCTGAGTTTCCTTAAAAATGGTGAGCTTGTATTTGCCCTCGTGTCTACACTCTAATTACAGTCACTTTTCATTAATTTTTATCAATACTTTGTTTATTTAGGATCCGGGCAGAGACTAAATTGTGCCCCGAGCAAAGCTGAAAGTGCGCAAGATGTATTCGGGGACCTTGCGCCTCTTCAAGTTAGATAAAAGCAGTTCAACCTTTAAATTTGGTCACTGAAAACTTAATTTTCCCGCATTTTTGGTTGTAGCTTCGGGGGATTTAAACTTAATGTTATAGCAATTAGATAAGGTTTTATAGGAGAATGGGGCGCCAAATAGCAGTTAATACCAAAAAACAGTTATTTATTTTACCAAGAATCCCTGGCATTTTGTTTTCACTGTTATTTATGTAGATTGAAAATATTGAGATATATATGTTTGTTTATTCAAATGTCACACTGTCAGTTAATAGATATCCGTTTCCTATTTATGTGCCTAAATACATTGAAACTTTAACAATTCGTCTTAATTTAGTTTGACCAAGTTTATAAATAAGCAGCATTACATTTTTGAATAATTTAGATTTTAGGCCATCGCGTTATCAATAGCAAACATGTACACGGAGATCCAACGGTTGCTAGCTCTCAAGCAAATACTGATGAGAATTTTGCCAATTATCTTTTGAAAAACTGGAGCTTAAAATTTATTTGTCTAGAAAAATATGGTTGAGTTAGTATGTAAAAATCAAAAGCCAAGGTAAGTAGACCAGAGACGGCTTGAGGGGGGACGCACCCCCTCTGGGAAATTGAGGGGACGTCCCCTTCTCTGGAAAAATGTAAGCCACATCCTTCCCTATACAACTCCAAGAGTTTATGTGTAATTCTCATTGTTTGTGTTTTAAACTCCCCGCCATAGCAACAGCTAGCTGGGTCAGCTGGTAATCAGGCTAGGAGAGAGAGAGTCACAGAGATGTGTTGTTGCTAGCAGGGTTAGGGGGAGACTGAATGGTACTTAATCAGTAAGTACGTTCTTAAATTGGGAACTATTATTTCTTCCAGGGCCGCGGAATATTTTAAACATGAGCCCTGCATTTCCCCCCTCATACTGCCATTCCTTTATAATTCCAGGCTTAAACTTTAGAAAGTCGTGATAAAAACAGATTGAATACTAACGAAATGAGATTTGATCATGTTTCAAATGGCTTTGTAATAGCAACAATCCGTGAGGAAGGGATGGGCGTAGAATTAGAAGACGACATATTTAAGCAATCTTATTTATTTACAGTATAACCCAGAACTACGGAGGTATAGAAAAGAATTTTAAAAATATCGTCTTGATAATTTTTAATTTGGTTTTAATCTATTATTGTACCTAAATCTCAGTAATTGTAAAATTAAGTTAATAGCCATGAGTTATGTGGGAACAATTCAAACATCTCCACCATTTCGTTATCAGTAGGTTTAGAAAATATCATTTTATAATTTCTTTCTAAGTTTCCCATGTTCTGGGTCAAACTTTAGTATGTTGTTAAGAAGCAAATAGTTGATTTAGTGAAATGTTTGTTTAGTGTCCGCTACGCAATTGCTGAATCATTTTCAATTTTTTTGTATTATCTAGTTTTATATAGCTAGAGAAGCCTTTTATTCCACAGGTTTAAGGGCCCCACTCCATTAACTGTAGAATTCAATTCCAATGTGTGTTGTGTTTTGATCCAACCTGTATCTATCTATATAAAAAGTAGTGATCTCTGTTTGTGTGACTATCTGTTCTTAAAATATAAACCCCATGACCGCGATTTGTCTAAACTTTGATCGGGGAACTTGGTAGAACTACGGGAATGCATCTAAGCTTGGTTTAAAAATTCTAAATTGAGTAGGTCGACTTTTATATAAAAACTTAGTTTCACCGCAAAGCTGGATCCGAAGCTACCGGGTATACCCACAAAGAATGAGACATCAGAGACGACTGTACGGAGATTATACTGTCTGTTTCCTGACATTCATGATTTCCTGAAAATGTAAACTTGTTTCTTTGTCGAATCATTACATAAAGAGACTACATTTAAGTAAAAAAAACTTTTTTTAAATTTGAAAATGTCATAGTTTAAGAGATTTAAGTCGTCTTTACGGGTAACCCTGTAGTAAATATATATATTCTTTTATTGTGAATGCAAGATATGTATATATTGTAAATAATAGAATAGAACGTATAACATAAATTGGAGAAATGTCTTCTGTAAAATGAAAATTGCATTTTTCCTATCTACATAATTTCCTTTGCACAAAATATTTTACAATGTTTTTGTTGAAAACTGTATTCAAACTAGAGTTTCTTGCCTTTACTTGCAGATATGCACTCGCACTTTTCATTAAATTATAAAAATTATAATATTATTCTTTTGTTCTATTCATGGGTTCCATCAACAAACATTGAGTGATGATTTCGAGATTGCTTGTTTTACCCCTATCCGGTTGGGATGTTTATGTCTTATATAGATTGCGGCGGGGTGTTTTCAAAAGGAAGGTTTTTAAAAAAAATTCATCGGAAAATAAAAAATATTGACATGTAGATGTAACAAATGTTATTACATCAATTTTCAAGTTCTTTTTAAAGAACATTTTTGTTTTATCTGTAGATTAATGATTAAAAAAAGTTTTAAACTTTTTTTTACACCAACTGCCCTCCACTCTAATGTTTGCTAAATTTTGCTTTGCTACAAAGTTAAATTAGTGAAGAAGTTTGAATGTTCTATTGTAAACAGTTCTTAAGCTATAAAAAAAGGGGGAGTGGGGGGGGGGGGTAGAAACCAAACCTCTCCAATTGTGATAGAGTTAAATCACATTTGCTTGTAAAATTTGCTTCTATAATTTTTTTTCCATTTTTTACAAAATTAGAATTTTGATAAATTGTGTTGAAATGATACAGGTTTGAAGAAAACTGTATATTTTACATAAATCCATTAATCTTTTTATTCATCTGAATACTTCTATAGATTTCCATCCATTCAAGACTTCATACTGTCTGCATCTCTTCAACGAATCTTTAAAAACATAGTATAGGCAGCTGTCTACAGTTAACCTTAGATGACTATTTTGCATATTATTTCAATGTAGGATATGATGAACCGCCCTGATTTCTCATTCGTTTGTGAGGGGTTTTGAACACAAAATTCTTAGAAATTTTACAGTTTACAAAATTGTTCATTATAAAAACATTTGCTGTTTTACCCCGAGGGAAACTACAGGGTTTCAACAACATCATATTAGATCGTTTCTAGCTCTAAATTGAGACTTAAGTGACTAATCAGGAAAAAAATGAATCATTTAAAAAATGTATAATGCTGCAGATATAGAAATTTTATTCAGAAAACATCAGGTTTTCCGAGTACTGTGTGCGTATTTTGTCGTTATAGCTTGGAGATAATCTGTATAAGCAAAACATAAACTAAAATTTAATCAAAATCAATTGTTTTAAAACGTTTTGCAAAGTTTAATAAAAGCAAACTTTACCAAAACAAGTAACATATATAATTCATACTTGATCAGATAAAGCTTTTAAGGGTACCGTTGTGAATTGGGCAATCTTTGTATGGAAGGTCACTTGAAATAACGCTTACAGTCCCTTTCAGCAACATCTTTAAAGTATTAATGTGTTCACCATGTTCCTTCTTCCTCCAAATCCTAGAAAAAGAAAATAGTCCCAGTGGGATCATTTCACATACTCAATCTTTTCAACCACAACCTCTGCTCAGAGTTTATAAATAGCCAAAAGTAGTTAAAATAGATACAAATAGCTAAACTGCTTGTGGGACCAAAAGTATAATAGAAAAGTAGATCATATAGCGATGTTAGGTTCGTCCCCAAATGTCCAATTTCCAAAGTTTGTTCAAGCCGCAGTGCTCGCCCCCCCCTTTCCTATCCTAGCCGCAGGCGATCGGCACCCGTTTCAGCATGCGGCGCCTCCGAAGGCCTAACCTTTGGGAAGTTCAAGTTGCCACTTCAGATGTTGTCACTTGGGAAGTTACTCTTTGGAAAATACCGTTGGGAAATTACAGGGTGTCCCACGAAACATGGCAATAGCAAGATTACTTCAATGTCGTCTTTGATTTTTGATTGAATTTGCTGCATTTAGTTGTCAACCTAACTTAAGAAGTAAAATTCAAGAGATAATAATTATAAAATACACCTAGTCCTGTTATTTCCAAAATGTGGTCTGCCTTTTTTGTACTTTCAATATAACCCAAGATGTCAAGAATTTCGTTCAGATTTTAACAATTTTAGTTTAATTTTACAAAATGGAAATCTGAACGAAATTCTAAATATCAGCGATAACATTGCCAGCATAAAAAAGCAGACCACATTTTGGAAATGTCAGGACTAGGATAATTTTGTGGTTTATTGTTTCAGGAAACATAAATATTAAGTTGATGACTGAATGTCACTAATAATTTACAAGATCTAAGGCGACTTTCAAGTCGTCTTGCTGCTGGCATGTTTCATGGGACACCCTGTACCTAACACCCATTTAGCAGTAACTACAGATTTCTGGTTTTCACTTTACCTATATTTTCTTTCAGGGTCAAAGTTTAGTGTAAGAACAGCAAATGTTTTTAAAATGGTATTCAGGATTTCCCACAAAGGTTGCGACTTCAGAGACGATTGTACGGAATCATTTATTAAGATTAAGATTAAGATTAAGATTAAGATTAAGATTAAGATTAAGATTAAGATTAAGATTAAGATTAAGATTAAGATTAAGATTAAGATTAAGATAGAGAAGAATTAATTTAACCGTAAGTCTTAAGACTTATAGGTTGTCTTTAAAGTTTTATCCTTTGTGCGTAACCGTGTATTCTAATTACAATTGTCTTTCTTACATTATTTTAAATATTAACCCTGAAATCAACGATCAAAAAACAATTCAAAAACGAACGCGTTGTAAAGATCGATTTTGGAACGTTTTTCCATCTTTAAAATAGAGATGTTGCAAAGTTTAATAAAGGCAAACTCTAACATAATACAGTTTTGAATTGTTGGAAGTTTTCAAATTTTCTTTAAACACAACTTTTCATTAGTTTGAACCGGTTCACAAGAAAAGTGGGTTGAACTACAGGGTGTCCCAAATCATAATGGATCGTTAAAGCCTCTAAATTACGATTTTCGGGACTAATCAGAAAATTTCAGAAGAATGAATCATTTTCATCATCAGAAGAAGAAGAGGGGAGGGGGTCCGGACTCCGTAGATCTGAAAGTAATTAAGACCGTAAAAGATTTGTTTGTAATTGCAAACAATGAAAATATCTTAGTTTTCCAAAATAAATCTGGCATGAGAGAACAAATCTAAAAATTAAATCTTATTTTATCTAAATATCTAGATATGAAACTTTGCTTGTCTGTCTGGGTATCTGTTTGTGTTTGTCCAATAAACGTCAAAACGGCTAAACCGATCGGGCACAAATTTTGTATGGGACCTTACATGACCCCAGGGAAGGTTTATTGTTGATAAAAAATTTAAAAAAT